TGACTCCACAGGGATGTTTGAAAGCTAAAGTATCACATACATGGATTTGGAATAAAATGCAAAGTTCTAACTGTGTTAATACGGCTTAGAATGAAAAAGCCCCCAGCCATCTGCACACTCCTAGTTTTTAAAAGGAGGCAACAACTTCAAGCACTGTTGAGGACGCCTGGTCAACGGGGTTCAAAGCTTTCTCAGAAGGGCATGGCCCCCTAAGTTAGGGGTGGCAAGTCTTCCCCGTGCCATGTAGGAAAACCCCAAGGACAGGGTGTGTAGCAGAGCCGTCCCACAGGCTGGACGTAAATCCCACCAAATGCACTCACCTCACCTGTTCAAACATTTATCAAATGCCTGTTATGTGCCCATCAATGTGTTAAGGCCCTGGATACAGAGAAAAACAAAACTCAACCCCTCCTTTCAAGGAGTGCCCTCTGGGAGGAGAGAGATTCATCTGGTTTGACTGACAAGAGGCAATAAAGGTGAAAGGAATTACAGATGCTTCCATTTGGGTTCAGGGAAAGATACATCTGTATTATTGCTCTTACTAAAGTGGTAAACAGTGCAGGTTGCAGGGCGAAGATCAAAGGAAAACAATCTCCGTCAACCCCAGGTGAAGGGGTAGGCAGGAACTAATACGTACTGAGAACCCCCACGTGCAAGAAACATCAGAGTCATTTTCTCCTTTACCTCCATCATAACCACGTGAGACAGATGTTATCTCCCTTTCACAGGTGAGGAAAATAGGGCCAGACTAAAACCCAAATCCGTCTGACTCCAAAGCTCATGCTCGCTCCGTTGCACGGTGCCACCACCGTAAACACAGGACTATTCTTTACTTGAAATCAACTGCACACCCTGCCCCATCATTTGTGGTCCAACCTGAGGGAGACCTGAATCATGAATGGACTTAAGCTGACTGAGTCAGAGCAATATGGAGGGGCTGTCAGTGCCCACAAGAACCCCTTTCAGCCCTGCTTTGAATTTTACAGTCTTTTTAATTCATGCCTCTGTCTGCCACTGACAGAGGATAAAACAGCTATTTTCCCCACGTAAACTCTAACGGCCCACAATCCCATTTCATCTAGCTGGTTCCTCCCTTTCTTTAAAACTCAAAGTAAAGTTTCCCCAACTCCAGGGCCCCCTCCACAGGCAGCGCTCCAGCCTCCACTGTTTCTTTTCATGGCGGCATTTCTCCCTCGCAGCATCAAACCGCTGTCCGCCAGTCTCCCTTCAGCCCGTGTAGTGTGAGCTCCCGGGCACCCTGCGCTCTGACTCTGTATCCCAGCAGCGGGCACACAGCGGGCGCTCCTTCCACTTAAATGGAACGCGTCCCAGACACCAAGCTCATCTGAGCTTCCCGGGGTCAACAGCACTGGCAGCCGCACGTCGGATTGTTTTCTTTCTATAAAGGCTCTTACCTCTTTTTCCAAATAGACCTTTTTATCGTCCAGGGTGTTATATAAAGTGAAGAACTGCTTGGTTTCCTTGTGCACTGCCGAAACTGTAAACACAAGGAAATTGGCACATGGATAAGGAAACGTATCAACATGACCCTAAACACCCTCCCCTCCCTGAGACACAGGGCAGGACTCGGCCCTATCAGGGCAGCGCTCACTCGGCTGTCTCGGTGGAGGCCCCACAGGGCACAGCTGGGGCAGAGCTGGCACAGGCTGAGGGTACGTGGCCGTCATGACTGGCCCAGCCACGAGGGGCTGGAGGAACTTCCCTGTCGGTGTGTGGGGCAGGCGGTTTCTCAGCGTCCTTCAGGCGAGGTGTCCTGGGTGGAAGGTGGCAGTGGGGAGTAAGCTGCCATGCCGCTCTTCCTGTTGTGTGGCTTCCTCCCTTCCCATGTCCCTCAGAGCAGGAGCCCCAGCCTGCTCAATTTTGCAATCCCCGTGCTTAGCACAGGCCTATATGGCAGCCCCTCCAAAATATCTACTGGACAAATGACATGTCCACCCAAGGGCAGAAGATGTGCCTAATAATGTGAATTCTCTTCCCACCTGTGAGCACGTGAGGAATGGGGTCTTATTACCAGGTTCCCAACATCTTTACCTATAAAATTACTTTGCGTCTCTGTCCCCCCTACCCTTCGTCACTCTTCCCTACACAAGAATGACTTACAAGCAAAGAGCCAAATTCTAGCACTGTTTGTGTGCCACATTTACGAGGGAACGCTGTCCCTGGGGTGATGGGCTCCTATCCAAACGCATCCCTCTGCTTTGTGGCTGGGCGGATGGGCAGCCCCCATGTGGTTCTGAGCCTACGTGACTTCCTCACTGCTCTGACGTCCCATCATATACAGCTGCCCAGAGGGAGATAAAATCCCAAGACCTGGGTCCACTCTCAGGCTTGGAGCCCAAACTGAGCACTCCAGTTTAGCCATAGCTACAGATCCCAGTGCCTAACGGGTTACCAGGCTCTGGTCAAGAATACAGTGGGGTCTGGTTTCCCAGTGGCTCTTGCTCCCTGAACGTAGGGTCCTCTGGAGCTGTGCAGCTCAAAGACAAGCAGGAGTGTGGGGATATTTGCCGTACATATTTGGGAACAGAAGTTAATAAATCTGATATAAATATTTTGATGCAATAGTTAAAAACATTCCCAACATCAAAATGTCTAATTTGTATGGAAATCACTTCACTAACTACTCAATATAAAGTAGTATTATTGCTAAGAGCTTTGGAACAGTGGTACTCAATCCTGGTTGTAAAACCGAATCACCTGGGGAGTTTTTAAAGTCTTATGACCAATTAAATGAGATTTTCTGGAGGTGGGACCTAGGTGATTATAATGTGTAGCCAAAGTTGAAAATCAACGCCGTAAATAAACCAGTCAACTTGTAGCTTTATGGCCCAGGAATGTGTCTGTCACCCTTAGCCTATCAAGCTCAAGGACTAGGTGGGGGTTACAGATATTTGATGATTAAAAAACTGAAGATGACCAAGTTGGATTCTGAAGGAGGAGACAAAGTTGGACAGATGGACAGTAGGAGAGGGGGCTTTGGAGCAGTAAATCCTTGACAGAAACAATTTAAATCCTTGGGGCATCTTAACTGACTTCTACTTGAAGAGCGCAGCGTCTCCCCAGGAATGCCAAGCATCTACAAATATTCCACTTTTGTTTACACTGGAGCAAGGGCTAAAGTGCCAATCTAATTTTGTTCAACAATTTCAGATTAAGAACGTGCTTTCAAACCCACAGTGTGGATTAAGATGACGTATAGTGCAGATTCAATATTTTCTAATAGTTGACAGATACTCACAACTTTTACTCCTAGGTGAACCAAATTTAAATGTCATTCAAGAATATTAATCTGGTTCAAAACAGTAAATTCCTAAGACAAACAGAAAGTGATTACTTTAGCTAAAACTGTACACTTTTGTAATGAAAGAGACCCAAAAGGTTATCTACATCCCAACCTTCTTCCTAATACAGGAATCTCTCCTATATCAGCCCCCTCCCCCACCAAAGTATGGTCACTAGGCTGTCAATAATAGATTCCTATCTCATGATGGTGCCAGAAGTTCTCTCTACTGAACAGATGTCGGTTTCTGGCACCATGATGAACACTTACACTGAAAACAAGTAAACAGGAAATATAAAATATTTTTTTATAATCTTTTAAAAGATCTGTGAGCTAGCAAGAATGTAAGAAATCCTGGAAGGCCAAAAAGCCAGCGAAAGTGGAAATCCAGGAAGGTATGTGTATCCACTGAAGTTGGCTTTTTTCTTGAGTATTTGCCAAGCTAGGTGATTTCAAGCTTTGAGTTTTAGACTTCAACAACTGCTTTGCATAAACCTTGACACAGGTGTAGGAGGAAACAGATCTGCAATGAGATTTTGTAACAACAGATTGGCCTTCATGTAGTTAACAACCTAAATTCACACACTACGTAGACGGTCCCTGAACCCGCCAAGTCAAGACTATGTGCACAATGGACTTGGTCGTCTGCAGTTTTCTTCCCACTGTGACTGTCAGTGAACAGAATGTCACTTGAGCCAAAGTGCTTTAAAAACCTGTTTCTGCCTTCATCAGTCTAGTTCTTTTAGCTTTAAGGGTGACATGTGAAAGAAATGAAAACTTTAGGTTGCTTAATAAAAGGGATGTTTGAAAAATGGAGCAGTTAGCTTTCTGTCAACTAGGTTACAGATCTCTTCAGTTCCGCGCTAGAATGAACGATGTTATCTGTATAAAAATAACTTCCCATTAAACAAAGCAGTTTGCATAGCACCATCTCTTAAACTCAAAGGCAAATGGAGGAACTCACAAATTTATATGTACTTTGGGCCTGTTCTTGTGTATGTTACTCATTTTAATTGGGCTGGAGAAATGTCAAATACCGAAACGGCACTTAATATCCTGATATTAGTGTACATTAATACATTGCAGATGCAAATTTAAGGGACTCTGCAGAGCAATGAGAATTGCTCCCTAGCAATAAGAGAAAGGATTTTGAAAGCCCATGTGTGCTTAGAACATATACTGTCATAACGGAGATATAACAGTAAGTTTGTATGGAGACGTCAAGATTCTTCATGTGCACTGCAAGTATTTTCTCTCTGTTTATATGGCTCTTTGAGTCACCTGTCTAGTAAAAGAGTAGAATCAGAAAGAACTTTCCTGTCTCAGTGTTATATAAATGATGAGTGGGCCGATTCCATTGACTGGAGCTCAGTACTTATGAGGCTGTCCCAATCAATGATTGGGACCAATACATGATCCCCAGGTGAGCCGGGGTGTGCCCAAGTGCTTGTCAGAAGCAAAAGCAAATCCTCTCTGAAAGAACAGAGCTTCAACTCTTGGCCTCAAAGAATTTCTCTATTAATTTCCAAGGAATATGAACTCACAGTCAAAAGTCAAAATCACAGATGAAGTCAAAGTATCATGAGCAAAAGCCAGCAGAAACAGACAGCAGAATCAGACCTGAGAAGACTCACACGCTTATACACCATTCCTCCCTGCAGCAACAGAGACTAAGGGTAATCTCTCTTCCACATAACAGTCCGACTTATCTTACAGAAGCATCCACGGCTCTTTCCTCTGTCTTTTCTCTAACAAGATGTTGGTCCCTTTCACCATCGTGGCTGCTATCCTCTGGACATAAAAAAAATCACTTAGGAGCTAGGTTCAGCACTCCGGATGGAGTCTGAGGGCTGCAGATAGAGCAGGATCATCGCTTCGAGACCCATGAATTTCAAAGACCCATATTCACGTAACCTGCTGAGTCTAAGGCACAGCTCTGGGTCCTAAGGTGAGCAATACAGGATCCCTGCTCAGAATGCAATTAACGTTTACGAGGCGTGAACAAAATCCAAAACACCCCACTTTTACTCCCCATGAACTGCTCTCAGGTGAGATGGCATCCTCACAAATCCTGAATTGGTATGATTGATTTTTCTGAAATTAAACAAAATAGTTCACATTTACCTTCTCTAAAAAATGAATTTATTTGTTTGGGCTTGTAATTTCAATCTAACATGTTTTTGAATGTTAATTCTATTCTTCAATGTACTAGCCACCTTTTCTTTTCTAGCTTTAAATGATGTTCAAATCTGGCAAAGCTAATTCCTATGTCTTTATCCAAATTGATAAAGACCCTAGAAGGTATAGGTTGTGCTATGTGGCTTGAGACAATCCTACCAGGTTGACAACTCAGTAGCTAATACCATTCTCTCTGCTCTTAGTTATTGTATTGCATAACTCAGTCACTAAGAATTTAGGAAATCTTGGAGCAGTTTGGAAACACAAACATATTGAGCATTATTCTCTTCAGGTTTACAGGATTCCTTAAGATCTAAATTCTGATTCAGTTTTAAATCCCTTTCCCCACCTCTCTGTGTTTAGTTCAACAAACCTTTGCTTAGAGCCTGTCAGGTATGGGGCACAGTGAGCAGCGCTGGGGAAGGGGAAAAGACACAGACCTTCCCCCTGGACCCTCACAGTCTAGTCGGGGAAACCCAGCTCATTCACAAATAAAGGTGTTGCATCCTCCACATCTCCCCAAGCCTAAACTGTGCCACAGAGGGAAGAGAGAGTTTTCAAAGCTCTTCTTGTTCCTTCTTCTCCCTCCCCTCCTTTCCTCCACAATGTTCATGAAAACCCATTGTGTTAGGCCCTGGGGGTAGACAACGATCCCAGCCCTCGTTTACAGCAGACATTCTGGTCCTGGAGACAGGCAGAGACAAATGAAACAGTGCATTGTTAGTCGTGCTAGAAGAAGACAGCAATGAGTTGATCCACACAACCTCACAGAAGAGCCTGTCTTCGGAAGAGAGGTCACCCTCCAGGATTACTGGGTGAGTCTGCACAGAGCCTTCCAGTCATCCACCAGCCTCTATGGAGTATTTATTCTACACTAGGCAACAGGGATACAGAGCTGAAAGATGAAATCTTGGCCCTCCAGAAGTTTACAGATTTAGGGCATGACTTATCTAACACCTGTGACTTGATGTGAAGAAACGAAGTCTAGAAGGAAGGGGTAAAAAATCTACCCACACGCT